TATGAGACCAATACGTCTCTCCAAACAATGTTACTACATTGCTACGCAAACAAACTAGGACGATACAAAGTTGATTTACACCGACCTGTAATCTTGTCAGCTGATCCTGGTGCCTCGTCAAGTCACCTTCCAATACCAATTCGGATACAGCACTTTCCTCCACGGAAGCCAATTCCTCAAACAATTCATGAAGTTCAATTTGATTACTTAGTTCCTGATCGTAAAACTCTTCAACCGTCTTTGCTTCGAGAGCATCAGCCCGTCTACTTACGCAATCTTCATCACAGCAGTCGACCGTCAGATAAAGCGACCTCAAAAATGAGAAGTTTTCCGTGAACGCGGTGACTTCTTGCTGTCGAGTGCTCTCCAAGTTCTGCGTTTGTTCTTGGACGCAGCGCTCTAGAACTTCTTGCTTCGACGACGCTCGCATTTGAACCTCTTTCCAAAGAGCGTTGACCTCTCGAAGCCGCTCTTCAAGAATGATATTCATACTGGCACTGTCATGAAGGAAACCGTGAGACAATACGTTCATTTGATCAACACGATCTTGTTGCTTCGACATCAGAACACACAGAGCCTATAAAAAAAGAAAAAAACAAAACAAACAAAAAAGCAAAGCATCAAGATATTTGTTATTTCGTTTATATACCTGTTCTTTGAAAAACGGCAGGGCTGAAATAAATAAAAGCACAGATGGTCTCTGTTCCATCGCAGTAACCGCAGAATGTTTCTACACCGTTCACCCTAACAATTAATAGGAGTTCCACCAATTGGCAGCAAAATTGCCTCAGAGGAAAAAATCATGGCAGTTATTTGCAGCGATGGACAAAAAATGGAATTCAGGCCGTTAAACACATAAGTGAAGAAAAGACTTCAACAAACAGGACTGCAAATTCGTCAATGTGTGAAGTTCACATCCTTTGAAGAAATCTGTTGTATCAATCACAAGCCCTGAGAGGTACTAATATTCCAAACGCACTAATAAACTTAGGATTAATCTTCAATGAGACTTGAGCTTACCACGTGTTTAGCCAACTCATCTTTTACACTGTCCTCATCCTCCAAGTCAGTGGTAAGCAATTCCTCAATGGAGTGCAACTTTTCCAACAACTTTTCAACCTCCACAAGAAATGCGTCCAAAGACATGTTTTCATGCAAAAGATTTTCCGACTCATCAAGATCCTTTAACGGGGAGCTTCTATCAATAAGGTCTAAGGGTCGAGAGGAGAACAGCTCATAATCAGCGTCTCTAACCGAGTTCTCAGCAAATCGGAGCCTTTCAGCCTCCTCCGCCTTGCGCCTCTCTGATAAAATGGAGGCGATTTTGTCGTGTGGTTTTTCCTCCTCAGTGTTTGTAGCGTTGTCCTCTGCGGTATTCCCTTTGATATTCAGTAGTTTGTCGAGTTCACCCATTTCTTCGTTTGGCCCTAAACTCACAAAGCTTGGTTCCATATCGGATTTAGCGCCCGGGTCACGTGGCTTCGGTGGAGTTATGTCCTCAGTCGAATTAAGATTTTGGGAGTCCACAAGTTGATCTCTATCTAAAGAGCTATCTCCGTTCATTTTCTCCTCAATCAGCGGGGGCACCCAGGTTTCAGTAACATTAGCAAACACCTCAGTAGAATCAGCTGTTCTTTCTAACAGACCTGGCGTCGTATGTACTTCATCTGCGGTTGTCACAACAAACTCACTTGGTGTACTATGTCGCAGAACGTCCTCGCCAAGTTCAGCGACGTCGGAAATGTCCAGATCATCTTTCAGTTGACTACCTCTCGGTGTGAGTGCTATTTCTGAAATGTCATTCGCATGTCTGCCAGAATTTTCACCACTTTGTGAAAGATCAACAGTTCCATCCGTGAGTGAAGTGTCCGAATTACTTTCCTTGTTTGTAACATTATCACTTTTTGGAAGGTCTCCTTCAAACTCTTCATCGTCCATGCGGTTACGCTCAGGTGATTTGTCCGTATCATCAACATCTTCCTCAGGGCGATTTCCACAATAGACATCAAAATCGTCAAAGAAGAATTCACCCGCCTGATCACCAAACCCTTCATTACCCAAATTTTCCTCCGTTGCGTTCTCGGCAAATTGTACCTCCGCGGGAGTCCCATCCTCGTCTGTTACAGTCACGATGGGCACGCTAACTTCGGATCTCCGTGAATCAGCACGTGAACTTTCGTCATCACTCTGTGTGTTAAAGCCGTTTTCCAAACCGACAGGGTCAGAAGAAGCTGTGATCTCCTCGTTTGATTCCCCGCTCTTACTCAATCGTATTCGCTGATACTCGTCCGGTGAAACAGAGATCCCGCCTTCAAGAAGTTCATTGTCGCCCAAATCGTCGTTTCCAAGGCAATACCGTGAAACGCCATTTTCTTGCACTCCATCTTCGTTCGAAGCGCGTCCATTTTCTTTGCGTAGAGGGCCTTCAAAGGATTCCATCGATGAGACGCCGCTTTCTGAGTCTCCCAAATCAGAATCTCCATTTTCTGCCATATCATGCGCATCCATCGGACCATCGAGAGATGACGCTCCCTCACTCCCTCTGGGCGCCGCGTTACAAGGCTGGAACACCGGCACAACAGGGATCTCTCCAAGAGCATCAATGGCTTGTTGTAATCTTTCCAGCTTTTCTTTCACGGCGTCTTTTTCCATATCGGTAATTTCCGAGAGTAATGCTTGGCCATGCTCATGTATATTTCTTGCCATACTTTGAAGGAATTCAACTTCTGAATGAAGATCCTTAAAATAAAATGAAACAGGAATATAGCGTTAGAATCTTCAAATTACTCCGTAAGTAAAATATTTTACAATAAAAAGAATAAAATAGGTTTGTTTATTACTCACTGCTAGTAGTGAAACGAACCTCACATTAAACTCGATAAATCAGAGAACGATTTTAAAAAAGCGCGCGAACTTGGAACTTGAGGACAAATTGAATTTTCCTAGCCTTTAATTAAATTTCAATCCTCCATAAGCAAATTGAAAATTTGAAGAAATGTAAACCGAGTGGTGCTAATTCATGACACAGGGACGTGAAAAAATACCTTACCGTAATTTTCAAACATATTCGCCTAACATCTACAACTGTAAATTAACTTAGGACTCCTTAGACGTTCTACCTTTAATTATTTTGTGATATTTACCTTTGCGTAATGCCCCTTATTTGCCTTTGGTTTTATAGACGACGCTCAATTTCCTTTCCTTTTCGGGACATAATATAAAATCCCAAACAGGACACAAAAAATAAAGGTATAAAAAGCGGTCAAAACTCAACGCATCTAAGGCTGCAAGCAACTGCGGTATTAAAAAAGATGTGCTCAAAGCTCTTATTTACTGAAGATCGGGAAAAAGAATTATCGAGACAACAATTACACTTGATAAGGAGGACACTACACGAGCATATTGAGCGCAATTTTTTTTTCAACGAAGAGGAAAAAAAAATTGAAAACAAAAAAGAGATTAATTCCATTTGAGCTCCTAGCGATTTACATGGAAACAAATGCAGTATTTGCCTATAATAATAGACAAATCTTCGCCTTTATTGCAGAAAAAAGTATTGTGTTGCTACTCGGAGTTCTCAAAGGCTGAAAGCGTGACAAAGCATTTAAATTCGCTTCAATGAAGCGTGTCAGGCAAGTTGTTATTCGTGGTCATTACTATGAAAATAACAAAAAGATAATAAAGGAAATAACGCTTTGGTCGGGAGAACAACTGTTGTTCATGACGCAAACGCGAGAAGTGAGTACGTAAATGTTTTGAGTTCTCTGATTTCAACTCTTATGACAGCAATCTCACAGCACGGTCTCATGATTAATCAATTCGTCTTCAGTAACTTACAACTTTACCGTATTGAGCCTGTAGCGCCCTTTCTATCGCTATAAATAGTTTGAATTGCGAAACAAGTATACATCTTAACATAAGTAATGGCTGTTTCCAAAATAATCTATTTCTGTTGATGTCTACAGCTGTCAAGCATATCATAAAAATCGACCTTTCATATAATTTCACAAAATTATTCGCAGCTGCCTCTATCTGCATATTTCGGATCAATTTACAGCAAACACGGTTTGTCGTGTGATAAATAATGACTTGAAAAATATCGAAACAAAAACTTAAACCTGTGGTTTACTCTTAGTGTACCTACCTGTAACTTATTATTCCCTTCGTTGTGTGATTCCAAATTCTCGATTTCCTGCAACTTGCTTTTAAACTGGTCGATTCTTTCGTAACACAATCTCAGTGACTCTTCAAAATCTACAACTCCGTAGTGAGTTCTCTCGCCTATTCTCTGTCCTCTGTCGTTTACCAGATTCTGGATACGATCCAATCGATCCGATATATCATCCATCTGCTTTTGAAGCACCTCTCGTTCGGACTGATCGCTAAGCTGGCAAACCAAACGGTCGCCTTGGCTGCGAATACTCTCGAAGTCACCCTGTCGCACATCCAATTCATGGCTAAACGCCTGAAAATAAAAATAGTGCAAGTACAAATCTGAACTATTGCTCTCCATGAGATTTCTCAGTCAGCTACTCTCGCCTTCATCGTCCGCGTTTTCTTGTCCTAAGCAATCTGCACTATCTCATTACATGGTATTCCATCGTGTTTAAAGCTCGGCTGCCACTGTGGTTAGTAATCGACCAAAAATTGATATCGCCGTTTCAAAAGCAATAAACTACGATGAGCCATAACAGATTTTGTCTTGCAGCAGTCTTAAGTCGATTCTCCTGCTAAGTAACCATATTTTCGGCGGCAAAAAAGTTAAAATGCCTGTTGTACAACCAGAAAAACATGGCTAACGCTCATGCGCATACATTAACCAACGTGTTAATTAATTCAAGCTTTGCGATTCTCGTTGGCAACGTGGCGTGCCAAAAGTACATTAAAATATAACATAGAAGAGATATTATCACAAGTCAAAACCCATTAATGAATTTAGGAAAATCGACAACTTACTACACTTTTAACATCAAACTTACCTAAAGAGGCGTTTAGATGCCGACTGTGTCTCAATTTGCGCTTTCAATGAATTTAATATTAAATTGTCTGATCTTCCACTGGGTGCGATTCACAAACTGCGTGACTTCAATTTTAATCAATTCAATCGTTGTCCAGATATCACCCAATACTGGCGTGTTCAAGCTATATTTCCAGTGTTCGCATTTCAAAAAAAAAATATCACCAAAACGACCTTGAAACGTGAAATGAACTATCCAAATTCATAAAAAAGTATATTTTAAAGCTGCGGCAAACGGTGACAAAAGATTTATTTGCCCCATAAAGAGAGTTTATTCACACGAACAAAAGGGCATTACATCTGGGATTTCACCATTGCATTCTTATGAAAAAAGAGGCAGCTCATTTCATTTGGACTTTTCTTCGGGCTGAGAGGAGGACAATTTTAATGAAATCACTTTCTGTGACTGACAGTTCACGCTTTATTGTACCTGATACGGCGAGGGAAAAATAGAAAGTTTATCCCTTGAAATCCAGAATTGGAGTAAAATGCGCGAATTGAAAGACTTGTTGAGAAAAATAAATGCATCACTACCGGTACAGGCATATGAATTGAGACACCTGCTGGTGTTTGCTTGAACTCGGTAATTTATGCAAAACTTGTCAAAATACTCTCCTACGTCATTAGTATGGCCATTAATCACATTTTAAATTACAAGTGCGGATTTCTGCACGCTCAACTCTATACAGAGTAGTCCTAACTACGGCTTTCTCGAATACTCTCTGCAGGTGTTTACGTGTGTTAAAGTAAAAACACCTGCGCGTTGTAAGATAGGGTCTGGGGAGAGTATAAATACTCAAATGAGATTGGGGAGAGGCGTGAAAAAATAACTCGTCTCCTAAATTTAGGTTAATTTTAGTTACAAGAGTAGCCAGGCTAAGAAAGGTACGTGAGTGAGGGTGATTTGCGAAGTTTCTTACTTTTTTAATATTAATTCAATTGTTTTGGCTCTCATGGAAAATTATGTGTAAAATGCCGCCAATTTTACTGAGGTAGAACGCAAATTGCTTGCTTCATTCACATCGACCATTCGAGAATAATAAAATTGAAAGCATTCTGGCCTCTCTTCTTTCATTTAGGTTACGCAGAGTGCGAAACGAAAGACCTTACTTCTCTAACCTTGAGTCTTACAGCATCAACCTCGTTTTCAGGCACACCTAATTCGCGCGACAAGCGCTCCTCTGCCCTTAGCGCCCATTCCAAACAGCTCTTGAGCCCGCACTCAAATTCGTGCCAGTCAATGGAAGACTTAAGCATCTCCTCTTGTCTCCTCTGAAGGCGTTCTTTCACATGGAGAAACCGCTGATCAAGGGAAATCAATTTGACTTTAGCCTTATCGACGTCTGGGGGAGGGAAAAGCCCAAGGACTTCACTTGCTCTGTCCTTGACTTCAAGGATAATAGACTCCTGGAAGTCCAAATTGTCTGATAGCATCTGTAACGATGAAGCACAAAAACGTACGAATGTCAAGTTTTAAAATGAGAGGAAGCACGAAAACCAGGTATGAATATTGACAAAAGCCATTTGTGGGTCTCTATGCTGAGTCTTCTTCTTTGGGGGGTGGGGAGATCCTAACATCATAAAGTATAAACAACCTATGCTAGAAGCTGTTTGACTAACCTCAAAGATGGGACGAAGTTCAAAACGTATGACTAAGCTCTACGAAGGATAACGAAGGACCCCTTTTTCAAGCTAAATCGACAAACCTATCCCACACCTTCCCGACGGCGCGCCGACGTAACGGCAACTAAAGGTTACGAGACAATCCATAGCAAAATTGCAAAACAATGTATTGTATGATCCGCTAAGTCCTGCCCCCTTCGTCGTTTTCAAGGTGCGTTTCGGCAATCAAACACTGCAAGTCGAGCCGCAACAAACTACTGAATGATGTTTTACATGATTGAGCACAATGAGCCTTGAAGAGGTCCCGCGCTTGGAACCTTGTTACTGGGGTTCGGCACGGTTCTAAAAAGATTATAGCTTGTACTAACCTGATGTGTCTCTCTTCGATCCTCCAATTCTCCATCATCAATGGACTGGAAATCCAAAGACTTCTCTATCATGGCCAAGTTGCGAAAGCACGTGTCCATATCGTTCTGGAATTCCTGCCACTTCCAAAGTGTCTCTTCAAACTCCTCCTCTTTCTCGGCCACATGATCTTCAAGATTTTCACATTTGGCTTTAAGCGTGGCAAGCTGTTCCCCAAGCTCCTCGCTTTCTTTCAAAGGGACGGAGTTCATCAGATGTTGACATCTGCTATCGAGGTCTTCAAAGGAACCATGAAGATCAGAAACCTCTTTGCTGATGGTCTAAGAGAGGAAAACACATTATCTACGAATCTGTGGTATGTTTCAGAAAAACAAGAGTTCAAACGGAAAGTAACGTTGACACAGGTGTCACTTCCGTAGTTGAAAAAGCACCGTGTTATGAGTTTTGCTACGCTCTCCGGATGTTATGTGCGGCCATCCTAAGTACATCACGTATTTCTCAAATAATTCACTTTTAGCCACCTCCAAGTAAAGCATTTTCAGAGGAAGGTAAGATCCTTACAATTTGCTCCTCAGAGAGGGATAAATAGAACATTCCAGCTCTCACCTCATAGTTCTCCCTTTGCTCTAAAACTCTCGTGGAATCATAACTGGACGCTGTAAGGTCTTCTGTTGACGCCGCCAATTCGTCCAACCTTCTGGAAACTGTCTCCATCTCGTCATTCAGAGCATTTACTGCATGACATTGCTCTGTTTCTGCTATTTTGTCATGGAGTTTTGTCTGCAATGCCTCCCATTTCTCACCTAACTCATCGACTTTATCTTGTACCTCATCTCGTCCCTGCGATCCATTAGGTTTCATCGTAGTGAGAAGTTTGGCCTTTTCTCTCACGATCTGGAGTAGGGGAGTGACATCATATAACTGTTGCCGGCATTCCTGGAGGCAACAAAGGAGTAAACAAAGGAGTAAACAAAGGAGTAAACAAAGGAGTAAACAAAGGAGTAAACAAAGGAGTAAACAAAGGAGTAAACAAAGGAGACTTGACGTCATTTTAAATCTCCCTGGAATAATCTTACACGTGTTTAGTATGCACACATTTTAAACATAGGATGTTTCGTCTCAGCAAGAGCTCGCCGCAGTTTCATTCAGACACCTTAACAGCCTCGTAAAATTGAGCTTTTAAGCCTGACAATGACAGCGATATGTCTGCAAACAGAATTGAGCCGGACCAAAAAAAAAACCGCAAGTACACTATTCTTTTCGTGAAAAACGGTTCTCGCAGGCGCGTAGCGTCCTCTACGCATATACGCACGTGCGTACTTGAAGTGACCAGACAGATTTAAAAACAATGTTGTGTTTGCGCCAAGTTTGCTCAAAATAAGGGCAAGACGCTTTGTTCTTTGCTTGTATTCACACAACTATTTCAAACAAGAAATAAAGAACGCAGTATTTTCCGCTCAGTTTACTTAGTTTTCTAGATCATATGTACTTGTGCGTACTTGAAAAAATGACCACGCTACGCGCTTGTCTCGCCGAAGTATATTTTCACCCACGCAAAAGGGCTCATAAACTAGTGAAGCTAGAATATCAAGAAGCATAAACGGCGTGGGTCTTAACATTATGAGATATTCCCAGAAGAAAAATACCCAACAATCAAGATTTTACCTCAAAGTCGGATCTGTTTAGCGTTTCATCCTCGAGCCTCTCCTCTATTTCACGCAGGCAAACATTTGCTTTAACTAATGCTTCGCGATATTGTTTGTGAGACGAAATAGTCTCGTGCAGTTCTTGTTGTTTCTTTCTGGCGTCGTTGCGAAGTGCTTTGAAACTAACTGCAGCGGACTCTTGATCCATGGACTCCTTCCAAGGTATTGTTGACGCAACATCTGTCATGCTTCCCATAAGAGATTCGAAAATCTCTAGTTTCCCTCTTAAATCCTACGGGACAAAATTTCATATTTAGAATAAGGGATCCAATGAAATAGCGAATAGAGTTCAATCTCAAACGGGTTGTCACAATCTTACGGAAAGAAATAAATAACGTGGACACCTTAATAAGACCGATAAAAGCAGCAGGGAATCAATTGAAACCCATAAAACCCCAAGCCTCCAAACATTTGCCGTAAATATGCTGAGGAAATATCATTATAATTTCATCGAAATGGTTGACAGATCAATCAAAAGGTTTGTAATGTTATGACTGAAGGTACTTTAGAACCTGGCGACCATTCCTAATCTACTAGTCCTCTAAATAATGTGCTTGTTGAGTATTTACATTGTTTGGTGAATAATCAATTCTGATGATCACACACACACACACACACACACACACACACACACACACCAACAGGATGATGTGGCATCGTGTCTCACTTAGATCAAGAAGAGCCTGCAGGAGCGACTTGTCATCCTTACAGAGTACCAAACAAGACTCTAGCAAGTCACTTCACGGCATGTCTTCTAAAATTAGCCGCTAGTAATCTAATGAGGCAGTTGGGAGCCAGATAAAACTTTGGCGTAGGTTAGATCGAATTTGCTGATCCTAGCAGGGTGTGGGACGCATGCCGCTTGCACTTATGAATCAATAACGAGGATTGGCCCGCTAAGAAATGCCCTATGGTTCAATGGAGGAAAATGGACGACTATGGGATCGAGCCTTCATCGGAGACTCATATTTTGGTATAGTTCCTCACTCGTGAAAAAATCTTTTCCGCTTCTAGACACATTTAGCACGCTTCACACAAAACTGATCCTAGGACACAGAACACACGTGTCACACCTCCAGCTGACATAAGACCCAACTCGGTACGAGTCCCCCTCTAGTTCTACGTCGGTGATGGAAAAGATAATCGGTAAGCGGAATGTTATACGGGTTCGCTACTGTAAATATTTTTGTCGCTCAGTACAAGTATTAAGAACATTTTCTTTGAGGGAAGCTGCGCCTTGCTTTTGTTCGTGACAAGACTTTACCTCTCTTTGCATTGTTTATGTGTACTTCAGAATACTGATGTTACATAGTTCGTCATCAATACTCGAAATGCAGCGATTAGAGAGAGAAGAGTTAACACTGTCCAACTTACTTAATTTCTCGTGCGTCTTGTAGTTAATTGAAGAACCACTCTTACAAGGGCAATTTACAGACAAGATATCCAGGAGGATTAACAAGACACGCACAGATTACAAAATGTGTTATTCTTGTGATATTGCCCCAATCTCGTTTAATTTATAAAAAAACAAATCTACGCAGTCACGCCAAGTGGGAGGGCAGGCTAATGAGGTCATTAAAAAAAGGGAAATAATGCGGCAATTTACCACCAGTTCATTTTGAGGCAATCAACTGTGTCAGAAGATTGACAGTTGGTTGTAAAAAAAAGGCAAAGTCTTATTTTAGAACATTTTATAAATATCAATATCCAAACGCTAAAATCATAATATTTCGCGGATGTTTTTAGCTGCCGTTTGTTTTCATATTCAGACAATGTGATCGTCGCTTGGTCTGTTATTTTAAACAAAGCTTTTGTCCAATAACATTATTTATATCAGCAGGAAATGAGTATGGGATTTTTTTCGCTTCCTATGCAAATTTTCGTATTTTAGGAGCGAATAAACAAAAGTTAATTTCACCTGGCGAAAAAGGTTACCTCGCTGGCGTTCAGCATATTTTGGAAGGACTATCGTCGAAGTAAATATCAATTCTCGAGTAGCTACATGTGGGTTATAAAAATTGAAACATTCGCCATGTTCACGGTAAAAAACGGGAAATATTCTCAGGGAGGTTGACAGAACATTGTTGATTTGAATATGCAAACTAGTGAACACTCGCTCAATTTGGCAAAAACTACTCATACGTTGAGACGTTAATGATAAAAAAAAATCAAATATCGATTCAAAATAAACTAAAAATTATAATGAAGATAACTGAGATCAATAGATCGACTCAAATAAAACAACAATTTTGGATGAATTTTTCCTCTTTGTAAAACAATTGCGACGTTTGCTTCAAGGACGCAGTTTCTTTGTGGAAGATTTAAGTAATTACTGTTTAACTTTCACCAAAAGCATGTCGACAGTTCTTGAATCATACGTAAAATTCTAAATCAAAGCTATAAGCATTTAACTAAAATTAGGTATAAATAAATAAATTACCTGAGTTTTCGGTTCTAACGCTGACATGTCTGCCTCCGTAGTAGAGTTTATATCATAGAGCAGTGCGTCAATTTCTTTAGCTTCTAACTTTGCTTGCTCCACCATATCAAGATGTTTCATACAGCTGGATATTCCATCTTCGAGAAGCAAACGTTGTTCATTCAACTGATCTTTCGCTTTCTGCCAATCTTCGTTCAGCATTCGAAGTCTGTCCATGAACTCTTTCCGCTCAACCTCATTCAGTTTTCCGCTGACCTGTTCACCTCGTGTGTTCGAGGATTTTTGTCTAATTTCGACGTCTTTTTGTAACTCCTTGGAACAAAGTGAAAAAACAAATTGGTCAGAGGACTTGTTGTGACCTGACATGGCGAATACTGAGTGACATGGCGAATACTGCGTGACATAACAATACGCAACAACAAGAACAAACAACAAAGAACAAAGCAAACCAGGCAAAGTAAAGCAAAACAAAACAGACAACGGCTGATGGAAAAACTATCATATGCGTGTATTTTTTTTCTCCATCAAATTCCATCAACTACGCAACGAGAAAACCAGACACGTGGGGACAGCGTCGATAAAAAATTTTCGATTTTTGTTTTTTTCAAAGAAATGAAAACAAGCGTAACCACGTTCCTTACAAAACGGTCAAAAGAAGTAAAAGTAAAGAAAGTTTTTTTGAAAAATCATCGAATAAATATGATTTTAGAATTGAGACCACTCCAATCTATCCGTAATGGTTTTTTTCCACTGAGGCTGAGTCTTTAATCTGGCGCGGTCCTTGCAGCTTTCGAAAACTCGTCGTACGCTAGTTATTGAAACAAAATTGGAGATCAGACGAGCGCAGTGAACTGTGTGTACCTGTCTGCACCGTAAAAAGCCTCTATTTGACAAGCGTAAACATTGCGGGTAAATATTGCAAAACCTGTCATTCGACAGAGGAGCTCCAAATCTATAACACAAAGGTTAAATTCAGTCCCATTCGTTCAAGAGCAACACAGAATCGTTAGGAGCTCTCGCTGACATGGTAAAATCTCATACGAGAAACCAAAAATAACACGAACACATTTGAAAAGATCTCTAGATTAGGAAGACATGATGGTCATTGCCTGAAAAAAAACGCAATAAGGAATCGATGTCATCAGCAACTCTTTTCTTTGCAACCGACTTTCAGTCAGCAACAATAAAGCTATTTTTGAATGAAACAATTTAACCGATATTATATAACTAAGTCAAAAAATGGGCATTGGGAAAAAGAAAAAAAAAAAAGGGAAAAAAAGGAAACGTAGGAGAGCGCCGAAAGATATGGAACAGGATCCATTTAAAACTCAGCCAACCTGCTCGTAGGGATCACTGCAATTACCAGCAGCAATTACTTGGAAAGCAAAGAGGAATTAACGAAATGAAATACTCTATCTTAGGGTATAAAAATTCCTACGTTTTCTCAAAATCTTCTGAAACACCTGAAGAACACCAAACTTAATCGCCGAATTCGCCGTCGCTTCCTGGTTAGATTCACAGTTGTCGCTGACTACTTCAACCCATGATCAGGCATAACATTAAAAAAATACTTCGAGCACTTCCAATATTCAAATATTTCTGTCCTGCTCAAAACGACTTACAAAGATGTTAATTTAAGATTAGAGATGCAAATATTTCGTGACAATCTTTCAAGCTATAGCAACGACCGCCGCCGGTTTGCTCTCCATGAACAATCGTCCTCATCAAAAGCTAAATGTCAACAGGAATTTAAAAACGCGTTTACTCACCGCATTTCCCTCCACGTAAATATAATAAAAAATCTCTGGGATCATAGTCATGGTGAAAAGACAATAAAAAATCTTTGCCTGTGGTCCATAGGGGAATACAGTCGTTTCGCCGTTTACTGGCAGTAATAAAAACATCAATCGCATGTGCTATTGTTTGAAAACAAAGACGATGAAGCGGCGAACTTCATTTGAAATTCAAACAATGAGGTTCATTATTTTTCATGTTGAAAACTTACGCGCCCTGTCATTTCATCAGCAACAGCAATAGAAATTGCGTTAGCTTATATCGCTCGCTCATATGGTGGTTTGAGGCGCTGCGAGGCCGTGTTACAACGAGAGGAATGGGAAAAACATCTCCTCTCGCTGAGATTCTCAGCTGAATGTTTCCTTAAAAAAAAAAAAAAAAAAAGCAGCGCCTTCTCTTTTAAGTAATTTTTTTCAAAAACCTTTGAATAGACTATAATGGAAAGTGATTCTCATAAAAAAAAATTAACATGAAATCAAGACTAAACTTTGCTTTTGAAAATCACTATCAGCAGGAGTTTCAAAAACCTTGTCCATAAGCGGCTGTTCTGCAAGGTATCGCGCACAATGCCTATTGTTCTCGAGACATTTACTTGCAGTAGCGAAAAAATTATAGATCTGTAATATTAGCGGCGAAACGAATTCTGGAGAGTGCGCATTCCTCTTCAGAGAATATTGCTTTAGCTCATTAGCTTCTAAAGGCGAAGCTTAGAAACAGTAGCTTAGCTTAGAAAGTTATTGTTTACACTATTGTCAGAAAAAATCAAACATAACACGCGTGTGTTTCAGGCTGGAATAGCGCTCGATTTTAAAACCGTCAGTTACACATTCATCTCTTTTTACATCTTACTCAACAAGCACCTTACCCGTTTAGGATTCGATTTTCATCAGAAAAAATCCACCCGCACAATTACTCTATAATAAAAAATAATGGGAAATCGAAACCCCTCTATGAATTTCTCATTGTTCCTTCAGCCCTTATTCAAGAGATTTATTCATTCTGCTGAAATAAATTCTTTATAGCAAGCACCAAGACTTGATCTCATTTGATATCTACTTACCTTTAAATTTTCCAGTTTTTCTTGAGCATCCTGCAAAGATACAGGAACTTGGTGTTCAGCGGCAGATCGTTCAAATATCACCGCGGCTTCCCTGCTTTCACTTTCAAACAGTTCACAGTCTTCCGTAAAGTGCTTGCAATCATTATCAGCATTCAGCAACAGTTGCTTCAGTTCAGACATCCGCGCTTTCACCTTTGCAACTTCGTGTGCCTTAACGCTTTCTTGGAAGCTTCCGGCATATGTGAGATACTCATCAATCTTGGTAATGTGGGCAGCAAGAGCTTTCAACCGCTCTGACATCCGGTTGCTATCAAGAGTTACGCTGGTCTCGTTTTCCTCCAGCAACATTACAGCATCAGCAACTAAATTTTCCGAAGACTTAAGCCAGCCTCCCAAGGTCTGCTGCTCGGCAACCAGATTTCGTAATTCTTCGATTCGTTTAGGAATCAACTCTTTCAACCTAGTTCTCGTCTCATTCAGCAGACGAAATCGTCTTTTTATTTCTTCTTTCCTTTCTTGAGGAGTAAAACTCACCATCATATCCTCATTCCCAGTCAATGATTCATAATCTCTTTCCCTCTCCAAAAACTCTTGATCAACTGCCTGGCATACGACGAGTTCTTCCTCAGTCTGCTCTACCTCACCATTTTTGGCGATGACGTCCAAGTCAACGGTACCGAGTTTTTCTAAAAGGTTTTTGTACAGTGTTAATAACGCTATGCACTCGTTATCAAAGTCCTTCAGTTTTTCCAGCTGGATTATTTCTTCACCAAGCTGCTGTTGTGTTGCATGTACTTCTTCCGCTAACTCTCGTAAATCTTTTTCTATCGCATTCTCACCGACGTCTTTCCGCTTAGCGCTTGCTTTAGCAATTTGGTCCGTGATGAAAGGCAACTCACAGGAATCGAGTTTCGCCAAAGCAACTCTCTTTGATGTAATTCTTTCACTTATCCAGCTTTCGCTTTCAAGATCACTTGACTCAGGGTTCTGTTGGCCTCTTACTTCCATCAACAAGTTCCTTGTGCGATCAAGATCAGTTACCAGTTTGGTATGTTGCTTGGTGCGGCTTTTAATCTCAGCATCCCTGTCTCCCAATTTTTCTTTTACATTTTTTAAATTACTAGATATCTCTTGAAGCTTCGACAGCAGCTGCTCTTTACGCTGTCCTTCCCCTTTGATCTTGTTACACCGCGCCAACAGTTCTTGAAAAAGTTTGTATTTAGTTTCCAGAATAGAACGGAATTCTGTGTTAGCAATAAGAGCGTTTTCTAATTCGTCCATCTGAACTACTGGTGGAATGTCTGTGTGGGTAAAAGGAGTACAAACATCCTGCACCCAGCATTGCAACTTCGCGATGTCTTGCGCAACATTTTTTACCTCGGCCTTCTCTTTCTCTAGTTCGTTTAGTTTTCCCAAGGCCTCGTCTTTAACCTCTTCCCATCTCCTAACAACAACCGTCAGCTTTCGTTTGGGATCAAGATCTTTCTGTTCATAAGCAACATTTGGAAGCTCATCGCATCGATCGGTAAGAAGATCAAGTTTGTTACGGTAGGATTTGATTCTGGAGCACAGCTCCTGCATTTTCTCCACTCGTTCCTCCACGGATCCTCTATCTTTATCGCGTGCTAAAATTGCAGCTTCGAGTTCCTGAATACCTTCTTGGCAAGTATTATAGTCTTCTTCGAAATCTTTTTTTGTCTGAGCTAAACGCTCAAGCTCGCGCAGCTTTTCTCCTACTGAAGCTTTGAGCTTTCCCCAATCTCCTTGCAGATGTCCAGCTTTTCCACTAGGGGTATTACGTCCGCTGTGATTGATGTCGTCAGATAACAGCTTCGCTTCCCTCTCCCACAAGGCTGCCATGTGATTGTCACGTGATTCCATGTCTCCATAAAGTCTTTTGAGCTTTCCCATTTGATCTTCCAAGGTTTCCACTGTATAAGAAACATCGACAGGCACAGCCGCTTGGTAAATGGTTAGTAAACTTTCACAGCGAGCTGACTCTTTATCTAACTCAATAATATTAGTTATTCGTTCTTCTGCGCGATGGACGCTTTCTTTTGAATATTTATCCGCCTCATTCAACGCTGTTTGAAGCTCCCAAGTCGACTTTTCTAATTGTGGCTTTTCGCTGGAATCGACCCTTGTCAAAAGCATATCACATTTCTCAACAAGGCTCTCAACATTTGTCTTCTCTGATTCAAGCTCTGAAGCCGTTTGCTTAAGCTGACCAAGGACTTCGTTTGCAGTTTGAATATCAGATCTCTCTGAATCACAGTTCTGAAGAGATTCATGCAGCGCTTTAACGCGAGCTAAACAAACTTCAACATCACCATGAATGTCTCCAACTTCGCTAATCCATGACTCAAGTTGTTCATGCATAATACGAGCATGTGTACTAATGTTCTGCCATTCACCCTTAACTTCCTTCAACTTGTCTTGCAACGACCCCCTCAGTTCATCACACTTGCCTGTCACATGATTACCTTCCTCTTCTAATAAACGAATCTGCTCTTCAAGTTCCTGGCATTTCTCAACTTGCTGTCTCTGTTTTTCAAGCTGGACGTTTGAGTTGTCTTTATCCGCTGAATATTGACCACCATCTACAGAATAGTTCTTTAATTCGTCTAAAGCTGCCTTGCAACGTTCTAAGCAAACGTTGTAATTGTCTTTCGCTTGAAGAAATGCCAGTAAGGTGTCTTCCTTATCAACTGCATCTCCTCTAAGTATTTCCCATTTCTTTTTAAGGGAATCAAGTTTTCCCTGAAGATTGCCGTCATCTTTCTCTTCAACAACATCCAAACCTCTGTTTTTCTCTTCCATCGAGATCAATACATCATAATATGATTCAATTTTGGGCAGCAACTCTTTTAGCTCAGCATACTGCTTTTCCGCCCTTGAATCATCCAAAGAGTACATAATAGCAGAATCAACAATTTCAGCGGCATTGTTTAACCATTCTAGCGATTCCTCTAACTGTCTTTTGCTTTCCGTGTATTCGTTGATCTTCACCTCTGTTTCCTTCAGAAGCTGGGGGAGTTCTTTATCAAGATCTTCAAAATTCTCACTTGCTTTTACCAGCCTGTCTTGAACTCCGCTATGTGCAACAAGGTCTTTATTCCTCTCAAGAAAACTGCGAAACTCCTCTTGTTTATCATCCATACCAGTTTGCAAATAACGCAACTCATTAAGATGTTCAGCCAAAATGTTCCAGCTCACTGGACACTGTAAAGGCTTCTGGAAGACGTCATTTGCTTGGTGCAACCAGTTTTCATAATGTGTTACTTCGTCTTGAAATTCCTCTGCTTCTCTGAGATGCTGCTCCAATTCCACGCACTTGGCGGCCGACTCATCCTGTAATCCCATCAAAGTGTCGCACAAACTGTTAAGTTCTTGTGAGAGCGAATCTTCTATCGCAGTTGAAACTTTCCCAATGCCTTGACCAACCTTTTCTTTGGCTTGCATAATACCATCTAGCACTGTGGTCGACTCATTATTTAGATTTTGGCATTCGAAAAGCTCTTCTTCAAGCTGCGGTATGTTTCCAAGCTCGAAAACTTCTTCGTTATTAGCTATCAATTCCTTTTTCTGCGACAACCACTCTTTACACGAAGATATTTGCTCTGTAACGTCACTAACATCATTTACGCAGTGTTCCACATCTCCGAGCTTTGCCGACAAACGCTTGTGCATTTCTTCGAATTTGGCTTCCAACGAACTAAGTCGACCTTCTTGTTCTGACTTAAACCCCTCGTTTGTTTCAAGTGGTGAATTTTCTACTTTACTTCGTAACCTTTCCATTATTTGTTCATAAGAGGCGCATTCATTGCTCAAACTTTTGAGTCTCTCAACCTGTCCAACGACCTCTTCCATTCCTTGAGAATGGTCGGACACAGAAGATATTTCCTTTTCGACATTATCTACCCAACTAATGACTTCTTCGCAGCTGTCATTTAGTTCTTTCTCTAAAGCAATTCGACGTTCTGTATCCGCTATCTTATCCGAGAAGCGAGCGAGCAACATTTTCCATTTATCTACAACTTCTGAGTAACCATCCGTGGCATCTTTTGATGTCGAAGTTTGATCTTTCTTCTCGCTAAGGCGAAAAACCAAGGATCTTTGAGACAAAGCATCTTCGAACTTCTTCTTCAAGTCTTCGACGTAAGCTTCCATTTCCTCTATGTCAGTAAAACATGGCGTCTCAGACAACACGGTGTTTTCAATTTCCTGCAAGATATCCCTGCACTGTCTCAACTCAGCTTCAAATTCTTTCGCGTTTTCATTTTCACCTTGCAATGATGACAGACAGACATCCACATTGCTTTTCAGCTCTGCATAAGAGCTCTGTAAGTTTGACAATTGATACTGTAGCGTTTCTTTTTCAGCGTCGTTAGCTTTGTTCAGTAGTTTCTCTGCATTTTCAAGTAAATGTTTGAGTTCACTCTCCTTAGACAAGACCAACTGTCGTCGTAATTCAAGCTCTTTTAGTCTTTCCTCTACGGAGGAACTTTGGACCTGTTCAGAGCAAGTTTCGATCAACTCGTTCTCGACCCACGACTTCAATTCCTGATACGCCTCTTGAAAAGTTTTGCTCTCGTTAATTCTCTCCTGTAGCTTAGCAATTTCCATTGCCGATCGCTCTTGTACTTCTTTGACAGAACTTTTCAACTCGGCCACTTGCGATTCGTACATTTCCTTATCCATATCGTCGATATCTTTTAAAACCACCTCACCCTTCCCCAGCAGTACACTCACTACATTCTCGGAGGATTTACTCACACCAATGATGGTCTTCAAACTTGCAACATGCTCTTCTAGGGAGGGAATATCGACGGAAACAAACTCTGACCTCGAAATTTCGTCTTTTGCTTTAATGATCCACTCCTTGCAATTATCCATCGTTCGGCCAAAATCTCTACAAGATGCAATATGCTTTTCAAGAATCTCGACCCTCTTAGAGGTATTTCCTCCAACGGATTCCCACTGTGACCATAAATCATTTATTTCTGCTTGTAACGCAGACTGCTCGGCTGGTTTCAATTTACTAAGAATTTCTCCGGTTTTGGTGTGAACAGACGCCACCGCGTTCTCTAGAGAAGACAAAGCTTCTTTTGTGAATACAATTCCTTCTTCCAACAGCGGTATCTTTTCCATTGTTAAATCTTCGCTTGTAGAGTTTTCCACCTTTTTAATCAACTGTTGACATTCCATCAACTCTGTCACTAACTGCTCTCGCTGGTCTAGCGTCTCTTGGTCTTCCTGAATCTTGCTAGAGATATTCCCCTTTACTTTCAACAGTTTATGTGTCAGTTCGCAAACGCGGCTGTTGAACTCATCCTGTATTGCTTGACAGCTTGAAGGGACCATCTGACTCTCGGTCTCAATAGAGGCTATTTCGGCTTCGCACATTTCAACATCACATAAAAGTCCTTGCAAACTCTGCAGCTCCAATTCCACGGCATTGAGCTCGTCGTCACTGGATATATTATTCAGCTTGGACTGGGCACCCACCAAACTTAGTTCCACTTTTTCGAAATCCGATTCTAACTTTTGAACCTGTTTCAGAGCATATCGGAGTACGTTATCTTGCTTTTCTATGCTTTCCCGGACGTTTTCCCATTCGGTTTTTAGTGCGTCTACCTGGCCTGTAACGACCTCCCCTGTTCCCGGATTATCGCTCTCCAACTCGGCTGCTATTTCTTTTCCTGTTAGCATCAGCTCATCAAAAGTGGCTTTCTTTTCAAGGAATTCATTCTTCACTCCACAACAGACTTTCAAAGCTTCTTCCAACCCCTCAATACTTTGAACTGACGCTAAGTCAATTTGATCAGCTCTCTCACGCGCATCCGTTAGCCAGCCCTTTAATCCACTCACGGTCCATAACTTTTTCTCCACTATCTTTGCATAATCATCCTTCCCATCTTCGACTATTTCCCCGAGACACCTCCTCAATTCTTTCTCCTTTTCTTTAGATTCATGATGTAACTTGGTCCATTCATCTTTAACACGAGTCAGTTGTTCCATCACAGATGCCCTTTCCTCGGGAGGGAGTTTATCGCAAAGTTTCTTCCCTTTCTCCATTACGACCTGCACCATCTCCTCTCTGCGAGTTAATTCCTGACAAAGCTCCTTATGCTTCTCCAACTCGGCCTTGATACCCTCTACATCACTAGGCTGTGCCCCGTCGGCTGCGATGGTGGCACTGGCTTCTTGCATCCAAAGAACACACGTTTCTAACTGTTCGTAATAATCTGTCTGTTCTCCGATGCACCGTTCAATCTCGTCACCTTGTAACTCAGATAGAGTTCGAACTTTCTCCCATCGCGAAGACAGACCTTCAAGCTGCTTTTTAATACTAGCTCTCTCCTCCTCGTTCATTCGAGCAGACACCTCTCTACCTTTGGTCATGATGTCGTTTACAACCAAACTCTGTTGTTGGATTTCGTTATACAGCCTCTCCTGATTCCGAATGACGTCCATCTGCTCTTCTTCTGGAACAGAAAACATGTTTATCTGTAAAATGTTCTCTGCCTCATTTAACCAAGAGCTGAAATCCTCGACTTCAAGCACAAAGTCTTGATTCGCTTGATTAAAACTTTTAGCTTCTTTTTTCTTTATGACGTCGCGCTCATGCACACGTACAGATTCCTCACGAACGCCACACATCTCTTTCCAAGTTATACGCAGCTTCTCAAGGCGCGCCTCCAAGACTTCCCGCTCATTTTCCGGGAGAAGAGACGAAATTCGAAGTCCAACGCGAAGCACTTCATCTACCGAAGATTCCACGTGCGACAAGTCTTTATGAGTATCTGTCATTTCCACTGCATTATTTGAGAATTTCTCGAGAACTTCCATACATTCATTGTACTTCACCTCGAATGTTTCCACCTCTGCAATGCATTTTATCAGGTAATCTTTTTTCTCAGTGGCCAGCCTATGGACCCTTTTCCACTTATCACCGACAGCTCTCAGTTTTTCTAACGTTTCTCGTTTCTTTTGAGGATTATCTTGAACGATTTTCTTTCCCTTGTCGCTGAGGTTGTTAACAAATTCTTTTTGCGTCTGCAACTCCGCAAGCAAGGGCTGAAAAAAATAATAAACAGAGAAAATAATTTTAAGTAATCTGAGGGTAACTCGTTTTCAAGACTCGAAACTCAGTCATTCGTAGCAGAAACGGATACATAGATAAACGGTCACTTTGACCACTGCACCACAATTATCCTTAATTCATGACAAGACGGCAAAACCATGATTTCCAAGGGAAGAAATTTTTATTTTTGCTTTTACTTTTTCAAAAAAACTTTTTTAAAAACTTTAGCATATTCTATACGTCCTCTAAGAGGGCTTGTTCACTACCCTACCTCACAAAGAGACAGCTTCTCCTTCATTTCATCCAGTCCAGAAGCTATTCCAAGCTCCCACTCTCCCAAAGATGTTTCCACCTCCTCCAGCACATGCATACAACTCTGAACTTGCGTCTGAAAATCTTCTTGTTGAACGATACACTTTATAAGTTCTTCTTGCTTTGTTAACGACTTGCGAATTACGCTGGCTTGCAACTCTTCAAGTGTATTTAATTGGCTCTCTAGGAAGGCGCGGTCTTCATTCGGGACCTTGTCCAACAGAAGGCGGCCATTGGTCAATAGTTGTGCTATCTGAGGCTGAGTTTGTTCAAGTTGGTCACAAAGGGTCTGTGCGAAAAAAAAGAGTAACACATACGTCACCAGAAATCTAACGCTAACCTAACATTGTCATCAAAAAAAAAGAGACAGAGGCAAAGCAAATCATTTTTATTTTCAGCGCCAAACCTTAACCGAAGCGAGTTGGTCCTCTAACACTTTGAGTTCCGCTGTGCTAATAATTGCGACCCCCAGACTGATGTCTGAGTTGCGCAGTTCAGTTAACCGTTGATCCACTTCCTTTGTAAAATTTGACCATTCGCCAATTTCGCCTTCAACGTCCTGAACTTTACTGGAGATCTTTTCCTTTACATCTGACCAGCGGAGTTGAAGTGTCTGAAGTTTACCATCGATTGTCACCCTTCCCTCACTGTTGCAGCGTTCCCTAAGGCGGGAACCTCGCTCGTGTACATTGGAGGACTGTACCATATGGCCCTCAAAACTGTTTGCGACGGCCTGCAAAACAAGAGAAAAGAAAAATCATAAAGTAAACAATAACAGAAAATGGCTCTCTACGGAGAGTTTTACCTCTACATCGTTCCACACAAACCTGAGCCTTTACTCTGTACGCAAAGCTATCTTCGAGTAAATGTTGAAAATTCAATTTTCCCATACCTTTCCATATACTATTTCTAATCTTTACTTCGAATCTTACTTTAAGCAGCAGATCAATCGAAGATGCAACTGCACAAGAAACTTCCATTGCTTGATAATGAAAGAATATTAGTTATCAGAGAAAACAAAGCAGCGCTAATTTTATTGCTTAATAATTCTATTTTTTATTTTTTTCTTCTCAATTTGAAAAATAGAGACTCTTTTGTAGTTGGTCTAGAATCAACACTGTAACTTTACCTTCAGTTTAGCAAGTTGATTTTGAAGCCCATTGTACCCTGGAGCTTTAGAGCTCTCGATCTCATGAAGGCACACTTCCGTGTAGTTCAGGATATCTCCGAGACGACCAAGGTCCTCTTCAAAGTTACTCAGCTCGGCTACCATGCCTCTGAGATCTTTAGTTCGTTCTGAGACCAGCTCTTGTACGTTGTTCCACATGTCGTTAATTTGCTGAAGATCAGCTTCTATTGATTGATTCTCTTCAACTTTGCTACTCAGTTCTTGGCCTTTCACGTTCACAAAGTCTAGTACAAGTTCTTGGATACTCATTTCCTTGCGTAAATTCTGAAAGAAAATATTTGGTAAAACACAGCATTTATCAAATAATACGCTGCTCACAAATACTCGTGCAAGGGATCCATCGATCAATCTATACAACAACATCACAAGATAAGGGAAAGAATTCTACGACGTATCGTTCGATTTCACAAGCTATCTGATAGATGTTAAAATGATACTGCTGAAAATTGAAAGAGTGCTCGACATTCAAAAACATGCTATTGGTATTGGCATGCCATTTTTATTTATTTAGAAGATGATGAACTACAAATATCTTAACTCTCCAAAATATTAATTGTGCTTTAAACGGTTCAAACCACTCGAAATACATAGTAGCCTTCCTTGTATATCAAATAAATGTATATGCACATGTAATATCTTGGATATATCAACAAAGTTGAAGTGGTAAATTGGCCACCGTAACGATTACAAAAGCTGACGTTTCGAGCGTTAACCCTTCGTCGGAACGAAGGGCTAACGCTCGAAACGTCAGCTTTTGTAATCGTTACGGTGGCCAATTTACCACTTCAACTTTGTTGATATATCCAAATTATTTCGTTACTCCCACCGATGCAGCCCCAAACAGTTTCTTTCGAAACTATCAGCCTTTATTCATATGCACATGTAAATTACTTTTTTCTCCTCCAACTTTTCCTTGAGCGCTTCAAGATTTGCTGGTCCCGTAAACAACTCCGTATGTGTCCGCTCCAGTTCTCCCAGCCACTCGGCCAGTTTGTCTCTGTTCTCTTCAAAGTCGTTCCACATTTGAATAGTCTCCTCGATCACGGCTTTGATTGACGATGCGTCCTGACAGAACACTGCCCAGTCTTTCTCTAACTGGTTCAACTCGCTTTCCACGGTGGCCTTACTATGACCCGAGATGACCTGGAGCAGAATGTCGCCCTTGTTGTAAACTTCACCGATTAGTTGGTCGTTTTTGTCCATTTCGTCAAGAAGTACCTTGAAACGAAAATTTAAAAACAAAAAAAATAAGACATTTCACTGCTTTCCATTCGGTGACAATCTTAGAGGCAAATGTTAATGTCGAGGCTAAATTTTAATTTGGCTCTATCTCTAGAGAGTTTAATTTCATAGAAATTCATCATGATATGCAATAACAAGGAACAAGAAAAGCTAAAGTTTTGAGCCATGAATAAAATTGAAACACAAAAGAGGCAACAATAAACTTAGACGGACAAAAGATGGCTAAGACACAAGAGCAGTGAAAAGGAAATGCAAATGGCCAACTTAAATTCATCATCAGAAATCGGGGACATTTCGAGCCCGTTACGAAATGTCAGCGGTACATCGTATTACAGACAATTCAATATGGCGGCGGTGGAAGTGACCAGAACACGCAACTTTCTATTTTCGTAAAACCCCGCCAGAGGAAGGCCTAGTACCTCACTATCCCAGAAAGCCAAAGGAGACGTCAAAACAACTAAAATGGCGGCCAAATTGTCCAGTTATAGGGACTTGTGTCTTTCGTGTTCTTCCTTCCTAAAACTGGGTTATTTAAAGATGGCATATTGGGCTTTTGAGCTCTGTGAAAATACGAAGAGTCTCCCGGCTCAAGAAAAATTTTTGGGCTAACATATTCGACCGTTTACGAGCGATTTAGTTGAGCAAACTTCTGCAGAATGCATATCGACTACGCAGTTGCGAATCTTCTTAAGGTTGTTCCCACGACAAAAGAATTGCAACAACTAGTCGAAGCAGATTTTAAGAGTTTGTACGGGAAAATGGAGTCAGAATTATGAGTTTACTCTCATACCTTGGGAAAAGGTAGGCTTGAATTTGAGTATTTCTTTTTCGTAGCGATAGACGCTTTAACCGATGCAGGCTGCATTTCCAACTACGCAGCGAAAGAATATCCCATTCTTAGACAGCTATTTTGAAAAAACAATCTTTTCCCATACAATTTCTTATACTGTTACGGCGCCAATTTGCTTGTGACACGAGAACCGCCTCCGCCATATTGTCCCAAATTTCTGTCAATGGCTCAACTATTTTGATCGCACCAACCTGTAATTGATCGTTTAAATCCTCCAAACTTTTCCTGTTCTCGTAAGGCTCTGTACAATTTCCCAGCGTGGCCTTAGCAGGACCAAACCACGCACCCCACTCCTGCACGGCAACAATATACCCGGTGAACTGCTCAACTACAATGTCTATTTCCTCATCCATTTCTGGAGCGGGTGGAATAGCCTCCTCAAGTTTGACTCCAGCTTCTGCTAACGTTTCGTCGACAGACGTTACGTCCAAGTTCTTCTTCAGCATATCCTCCTTTAAGTCGTCTAGTTCCGCTTTTTGACTTTGCAAGTCGTCCTCTAACATCTAGGTAAAGGGAAAACAAAAGGACATCGAGTTGATAATAGAAACATAAGAAAATACACGGAAGGTTTTTTTTTTTGACACTCAATCAAAGATTGTTCGATTAAAAAAAAAATTAAGCAAACCTTGCCCTCCCGAAGTTTTCGCTGAACCTCATCCACTGAATCATCGGCGGTGTAAGCACACACGGAGAGTCTCTTACAAGTATCTACAATCCTTTCTAGAAGGTCATCCAGCAGGGATTTAATCTCGTCTTCAGTTCTGTCAGGCCTTGAGGTCTCTTCACCAGTAACTGTCTCCATACTCTCCTTAGAGCATTCCTCTACCTCCAAAGCATTATCCATTGATTTAAAAGCTCCCACCTTGATACAGTCTTGATCCGATAGAGTGCCTTCTCTCGAGCGACTGTCTAGCAGATTTGGTTCGCTGCCTCCAACAAATACCTGGTTGCCCCGAAGAGCGTTATCGATGAATACTCCAACGTTTTCATCGTCCTCCTCGTCTTTGTTTTCTACGTTGATCGAGAAAGTGCTGCTTGAGCTCCAGAGTGTGTCCATCGAGCATTCGTAAGAACTTTTACGATCGCGAACATCTAGAGAGTTTTCGCTTCCGAATGAAAAACTCCGAACTCCCAATCTGTGCAACGGAGAGCTGTTGGGTTTTTCCGGAATGAGTTCTTCTTCGCTATCGTCTTGGATACTGAGTTGAGGTGGGACGGAAGCAGGACGTCTAAGTTTTTCTAATGTTTCCTTCTGTTGGTCGTCTAGCGGGATGCCGGCAAGTTCTTGTACACTGCCCCATTCTTGAAAGAAGGGTTGGAAGGACTCGCTTACGTCGACATCGACATTGTCAGAGAACTCTTCAACTAGCTTTAAGGCTTGAAGACTTAGCCTTTTCAACCGTGTCTCGCGTGAAGCTACTTCATCCTAAAAAATAAGAAAGCAAAGGTATTATCAATTGTTCCCAACAAGTTCTGTCAAATTTGCCTTCTCCCCAAAAATATTTTTATGTAATAATCTCGTCAGTGATTTGAGCAAGAGAGATTTCTAAGGTAGTGTCAAAAGTGGATCCATCCAACTTCAAAAAACAACACCCCTCTCTCGAAAAGTCACTAACGGTCAGTCCCTTATAGCAAGACAACTACTGTTAACTTTTATAAATCCTATGATGAACAAAGAACGAAAATATCGATTAATTCTACTAGAGGGGTAAATCAAGCGACGGTCGTAGCCATATCATTAATTATTATGGTAAATGTTCTTTTTGCTACATTTATTTATTTTTTTTTTATTTTTTTATTTTTTTATCTAGAGATTTACCGTAAGGTAGGTGTAGACACAATAGGGCTCAAAGTCCCCTACTGGGTTTCTACACACCTGTCATACCCACCCATCCCACCCCAGGGAAGGACATCCACCACACAGTAATCTCGTGCGTGGAAAATTAACGTCTCCTACCCCTAGCCCTGCAGGAGACGGGGCCTACGGTTTATTCGTCGTTATCCGAGAAGACTAGAATATCTATCCATTTCTTGATATTATAGAAAGGTAGCAAATTCTCCTCAGTTATTTTAAGACCATGAGTATTGGTCCGGCTGGGGCTCGAACCCTCGACCTACCGCACAACACAATCCGGCGCTCTAACCAATTGAGCTAACCGGGGGGCATTAACTGTGAACAAACCTTTAGTTTTCGCCTTCGTATGACAACATCAGGATTCTGGTCCTCTTGGTCAGTGGTTGCGTCCAGTTCCTTCTTGACGTCAATTATCCACTGTTGAAGTTCCTGTGTGTCTTTCTCCAGAACTTCAAATTCATTGGCCACTTGTTCCAACGCCTGCTTCCTGGTTCCCACCTATTACAACAACATATTCGCATTCTTTGCTTTTTTTTGTTCGCCATTCAGGGCATGGCTACTCATACCCTTGAAATTAGTTAAAAAGTGTTATCTTATAACACTGTGTTTACCAAGCCTAAAACCGAAGCTCCAGAGGGGCGCCTAGACCGCCCATTGTTACATTTGATTTCTCAAAAGGTAACCTTTCCGCGCAAACTTAAATATGTGATAACCTTTTATTTTTACTTAACGGGTTACTCTATTTTCTTAATTATGGGACTCCGCCTAGAGGAAAACGAAGTGAAAAAGTAAGAGATATCGAGCAATATTCCATATCGAGATATCGAGATGTCGAGAAGGATAACATGAACGAAGGCGCGAGAAATCGATAAAAGTGAATGTACCTATCTTTTACCTTAACTTTGGCCTCATTCCACTTGGCGTTCACCAATCGCAGCTGTTCCTCGAATCCCTGCATATCTACCAGTCCCTCTCCTTGTTTCAGTTCTTCCAGTAATTCAAATGCTTCCTGATTCACCGCCTCCAGAACCAACTCGTTGTCCACCAAATCTTGTCCTACAACCTGTGAAAACGACAAAAATGATACACCAGAAACGGCAGCATTGCACACTATTACTCTACAAGGATGAATCGTCTTCACCAGACTATTCTCATGCAATGCAGCAAGGTTAGTACTCTTGGCAACGCATTGAATGGTAGGGTTCCACTGCACGTGTTAACGCAATCATAAAGAGACGTTTTCTTTCATGTTCTGTACTGTTTAAGGGAAACTGCAAACACATATAAAAAACCCAGTTGTAAGGTAGCTCTCGTAACAAGGGTTGTTATTGATTCCTGAAAAGATGCCGAAGTCCCAGTTATTGACCGGAAGAGAGTTCCAGCATTGTAACATCACGAGGTATGGTGTATTTCTGTGTCATTCTCTTAGGGACCTTTAATATTCATCAAATGAAACACCCATTTTTTTGTTGTTGTTGTTTCTTTACACGTTTGCTCTCATTTTACAATGCTCTACACTGAAGTTAGCATAAAACAACTGATATCATAAAAAGAAAATTGCCTGATATATGCCTAACAGTACCTTGCACTCTTCAATCTGCTTTTTGCAATCGTCAGCGTTCCTGACTTGCCTCCTTGCAACAATCCCTTGCGTGTTCTTAAAGAACGCATTCATTTTGTGCTTCTGTTCAGCAAACCTGTGCCATTTCCCTGTTACCCTTTGAAAGAACTCTCTCCTCTCCGTGATGTTCTTCTGCAAAGCTTCAAATCGCTCGATCAGCTCCTGGATCTCCTTCATTGCACTTCCGTCTGCATCGACCTCCATCATATCCTGTGCTGCTTTGTTCAATGCCTCTAGGTCACGCTTATGGGCATTCAATCGGTCAAGAATGGCCTGAAAAAAATATGCCGATGTAATGACACAAGAACACAATAAGCATTAAAGTGACCAACGATAAAAGAAAGGCTTACCATACACCCTCACTATGCTTAGGAGACATCATTGAATAAATCAACCGGCTCGCGTTATAGCAGAAATACACGAACGGTAAAAATGTAGTTGAAGTTACGTCAAAATAGGATTTGACGATGAGCCTTCGCGCAATTTTTGTTTCCAGCATCGCCATTTTAATGTAACGAACAAAGAGTGTTTAGTTATACCTGATATGCAGTCAGCTGATCCTGAGCACTATCGATGCGATAGCTGGCAGCTTTTTGCATCTCCGCGTCTCCCTCTTTCTTTTTCAGCCACCGAATCATCTTGAGTTTATTTCTGGTAAAGTCCCACCACTTCTTGGCTGTTTTCTCGATGCTTTTCTTCTTCTCCTCCACATCCTGTATGACCGTCTGCCACTCACTGTTGAGATTACCGAGCTTTTCGTCGAAAGCAACGGCTTCACCTGACTCCTGCTGTAGCATCAGATGTCCTTCCTTCAACACCACGTCTAGATCAAGACACTGCCGCTTCCACATATCAACCTTGGCCTGGATGACCATTCAAACAACAGATAATTTGGTTTGCCGACAATTTAACAGTACTCACTGGATTAACGTCCGTAACTGCTTCATGCAACCATGAACCGCAACATTTACCGCTGATTTCGATTATTTTCTTAAAAATCTGAGGTAGCTCTCAACAAAACTTATTTCCCAGTCACAACAAATTAAAATAATTTTCTTTCCTTTACACATAAAAGTGCTGAGAGGCAAATAGAAAAGGTTGAGTTCTTGCCACATGCTCTTTTCGTAATCGTGATCACTCGAATTGTCTCTAATATCAATAAGTCTAGGGACACATGTTAACAAATTGAAAAAAAAAAAAGTTTTATCATCGGCTCCAAATGCTACCCTGGTATTAAAAATTCCACTAAGCCAGATTTCACAGATCCAACGACCTTTAAGCAAGTCAGGAAAAGGTCGGCAGATGTCGATTGAGGGAAGGGGGGGAGAGCAAACAAATAGATATCTTAAGCGAGTTCTAAAGCCAAGCTAAGGTCAAGTCATGCAGACAAAGGGTTCTGTAAAGCAGAATTTACCTAAGCCCACCTTAACGTACCAAAAACACTTCAGTCTCACCTTGGCTTTTCTGGACTCTTCCTTGATTTTTTCCAGCACTGCAGGAGGTACGTCTTTAGCGGTACTTAGCTTCTCCTCGATCTTTTCCAGGTATTGTACCACGTGTTTAGACGTATCAAGGTAGTGACGTGAAAGAACAAGCAGTTGGTATCTTCCAGCAGCCCATCTCAACATTTCGTCCCAACGATCGGTTAACTTCGTGAGTTTCTCGCCGAGTATTTCGGCTTCTTCACCTTTACTAGCTTGAAGTCGTACTTCGTGTCCTTCTTTCACGAGGGATTCAAAGGAGTCCTGACGACTTCTGAAGTTCGACTGAAATTCCTGGCAAGATGAGGCGAAACTGTACTCACAGACTTACTGCGCGAACAATAGCAGACACTTTTACAGGAATATTTTTGAAACGATTCTTAATTGACGACTATATTTGTAACTAAAACTGTACGAGACAAGATTTTGGCTTATAGTCAATTTTCAATTGAGCGTTCAAGAATTTCGGGATTAAGTTACCTTTTTTCACTTCCATCTGTGATCAGTCTTTAAAACTCGTGGCACCTCCACCCAATAGATGCAAAACTTAAACCAAACGAGGCATAATCACCAGCGCTTACTTAGAGCTTTTCATGGTCATTAGCTATCCTTGTGTTTGTTTTGATTGACAAAGGTCAAATTTTTACCAGAATTTGAATTTGCGACATTGAATCAAAAAGAACTCTATCCGAGGTTCCCTATAGCACGTTCGTTCTCGTGGAAGAATATAAATCTGCACTTACCTCCAGTCCCTTCAGCTGTTGCACGGCCTCCGTCTCATCGCGTGGTTTCTCAATCTTGGTGAACCCCTCCATTTCCTCGACCCAGGCTATAAACGCGTCCAACTTCTCGTGGAAACTTCTCCAATCGCTCAGTTCCTCCTTGAGAGATTCTACTCTCTCTGGAACGCCGTTTGTGAGGGTGTCCCATTTCTTTCGCAATGAATCACACTTCTCGTCCACTAACCTGTCTTGGATGTAAAACATGTACTTGCTGGTGTTTGACAACTCTTGATAATTTTCAACAGCTGACTTGAAGTCCCCTTCACAGTTTTCCATCTCTTGTTTTATACCCTGAGGAAAAAAAACGTCTTTCAGGGACATTCAAACTGAAAAAAATTTTAACGCCTTGTTTCCCTGTAATTTTCTGAGGATCGCTTGCAATCTTCAGCGAACATGGGACACCGAGTACCTTTCCGTGATCGAACATACCTAACAATTTGACATGCTTAGCTCGAGCATACATCCCAGACCTAAACAGAACCAAACGATACAAATTTATAAACACTTTTCTACTAGCAGCACTACCCAAGTTGTCTGTCTCACGAGAACCTTCTTAATAGCCTTGTTCATCAAGAAAGTTTCGAGCACAACGCGAAATCGCAAACGACAGGAAGAGTTTGGAATCTGGAGATTAATTTTTCTTTGCCTCACACTCGTAAGAACAGTTCATGATCCTACCTCATAATATGCAAGTGCCTCTCTCAAGCTTTGCTCGTCCCTGCTTGACAATCCTCTTTCGCTCTCCAGCTTGTCTTCCGCTTGGGTTACCCAAGACTCCATGTTGCATAACATCTCTTCCTTCTCGACCCACTCCATTCTGAGGTCGTCTAACTCTACCAGCTTCTTCTCGGCGTTTTGCACGGCTTGGCTCCATTTCTCTTCTAGTTGCTTCAGAGTATCTTTGATATCGAGGTCCTTGAGTTTCGTGCTCGCCGAAAGCTCGGAGCCCTTCCAGATTAAGTTGTCGAGTACACCTCTTAATTCACGCAGATCTGCGAGAAGTATCTGAAACAAAGGGCCACCAAAATTGGTTCGAAGATCAGAATAACATAATATCCAGGCTTAAAGTACCGTGATACATTAATGCCTGGCCACGTAACCATCAGCGCACATTCGACCCTTGAATCGGATGCAGCGAAGATTCAAGTCATATCAACACATCGTTGATTGATTTATCTATTATGAAGTGCATTAATACTTTTTTGGTTTATAGTTTTACATTAATTTTAACATATTTCAACAGCGAAACAACAATAAAAGTGGGAATTTTACGTAATAATTTCGAATTACCGATGGTGTCGGAAATTGTCTGAGAATTGGTACGACGCCAAAAAGAAGGTAAGTGACCGAGACGCAATTGGTTTTGATACGAATCGTAGTGGCGTCTTTTGTTTTTGGACAACTTTCGACAATCAATACAAAATTTCCACTCCCGACGCATTTCAAATGGCTGTAAGTTGACAAAGTATTCCCCTCTATTTTATACCTTATCTTCTTCTATGAAAGTAGCGACTTCTTCCGAACTTCCAAAATAAGGAACCTGGGAAGCCAGTTTCTCTTCCAGTTCTTCAAAACGAGAAGTGAATTCTTCAAACACTTTTTGATACTCATTAAGTGGCTTAAGACCCTGTTCTGCGTTGCTTTCAGACATCCTCGCCTTCTCAAACAGTTCATTCCATCGCTCTCTCAAACTGCACAGCTTTGCTTTGAAGTGCATGGTGCCCGCATCTGTCACGCCTTCGGAAAGCTTGCGGGCTTCTTCCTGGAAGACGGTGAAACTTTGCCGACGTTGAAATAATTCCTTTGATACTCCCTATCAAGAGAAAAAACACTTGTGTCTTATTCATGGTTCCGTCAGACACAAACTTTGATGAACTCGTTCCCTTGACATTCATCATAAGTAAAAACGTATCCTCCTACCTTGACTTGGGCCAGCCATTCCTGTGACACTCTACTATCTTTGCGACTCCTTTCCAGTCGGGAATCCACCTTGTCCATGTACTCCACAAATTTGTCCATCTGTTCCTGAAACCCTTCCCACTGTTTGGCTTTGTTGTCCAGGCTTTCAAGAAGAGCTGCGATTTCGTCGAAGAGTGACTTTTTGAGTGATGAAATGCTGTTCAGTTGGTCCTCGATTCGCGCTTTACAGTCCTCGCTGGCTTTCATTTTGATCGTAGTTCCAAAAGAAAAGATGAAGTTGAATTCGGCTAATTGAGTTTGAAGATCTCGTTGAAATTCCTAAAAGACAAATGGGAGGACACTTTGAAATGAATTAGTGCCAGCCGCAGTTTGATGGCACAAGAAGCCTCTAGATTATATTTGTGGTCCATCTCTTTGGTTATGTGCCTATACTTTGCTTTGTTTGCCTAGTTTACGGTGCACGAGCCAGAGAAAATATTTTGAGGAATAATGCAGTAGCCATGCTATTTTATTATGTCTGCATTTTTATTTCTTTTTTAGCCATGCATCGGAGCTCGAAGACCATGGACCGTTTTCGCGGAATAAACAAAACATTTTTGTTTTCTTTTCCACATGTCGAGATATTTCTTTTGAATGCTTTCAATACAAATAATCATCCAATCACTTTCGTTGAATGTGAGGTAACTACGCCACAATCTCATATCCACATTGAGTGATTGGCTTACATGGGATAATTCCTAAAAATCCGTAGCAAGATTCTTTCTACTCTTTCATCGTTAGTTTGCCAGGATCACTACCCCAAGGGAGCAGTCTCAGGTATCCTCAACTTGTGAATGCTTCTCGTTTGTTCCTCTTCTCCAGTACCTTATTTTTAGTTGACACCGTCATAAGAGGTGGTGAATTAATCATTTTTACATTTTCAAACCTGAATTTCTTGTTTCTGTTCCTCAACTGTCTCGATCCCAGTGACAATCAAAGTCTTCCTTCGCATAAGTTCAACTTCCCCATTAGCAAGAGCTTCTTTAAAACTCTCCAGAGCTGCATTGTACCGCGTCCAGTTGTTCAGCGCAGTCTCCAGTTCCTCATTCCTCTGTTGACAGTCACAGGATACCTCACTGGATAGAGATTCCAGCATAGCCACATTAGCCTGCACCATATCCAGAACGCCATCCACTTGACTCAGTTCTTTACCTTTGGCGATCTCCTCTTCGATTTGGGTTTGGTGAGAATCTAAAGATTTTAGGATGTCCTGCGGCATGAAGATAAAGTTTATTAAACTACGCGTTTACAACATGGCATGATGACATGAAAAGTTTTTCCTGAAAGGATGTTTGTCAATTTCAGGAGGCCCCTACAGGTTTCCCTGATAGTTCGATGTCATTGTGCAATCTTTTGAGAGAAAAGGGCACTGTGAGCTTTTAGTGTGCTTTAAAAGTAGGCTCTAATCGCTATACATGCAGCGCGACTTGAGATTCGATTTTAGTGACACAAAGTTATGATTTACCAAATGAAATGTCATTTCGTGAGAATGAAAGAGAGTTACTTAACTGGCAGTAGTTAGAATTCTTTTAAAGATTATCTATCAAAAAGTCACTTTACATTTTCAGGAAACTTCCAAAAACGTATTCTCTCGTTCGGTATTTCAGTTCATTTCCCTTTCATCATTATTTCTTTATTCTTTCTTTTTCCTGGTCCTTCAATAGCCTGAGAAAGTCACAGTCTATGACCCAGGCTCCTCACCTTAATATTCTCCAGCTCGTTCTCTGCATCCACCACGCCATCGACACAAAACTCTACCTCAAGGCGACTTTTTACCTCTTTGAGAAACGTGATATGTTTCTGGGTGCATTGCTGATGTTCAAAGCACTTAAGCATGGTCGAGAGTCTGTTACTTTTGTCACGCACGGTTGGTAACACAGCATGTACTCGTCGCGTAACGACTTGAACATCTTCAGTGAACGCTAGATTATTCGAGGAACTTCCAAGCTTTTGCGATAGCTCGTTCAGTCTTTGAAGCGATTGAATTTTTTCATCAATTTCAGACGAGAGACCCTGCACACATAAAAAAAATACGAATTATGTAACTCCTTACTACATTGATAAAAAAGTAAACCAATACTGAGAAATGATAAACGTCTAATGTAGCGGATTTGATTTTGACTTAGCGCCAGTTTCAACCAATTGCAACAAAACAATTTTGAGAAGAGGGATCAATACCAGTCTAAAATTCAGAACTAGAGAGCCCAGTTGTTCCCAGGCCGATCAGCACTAACCCAATATTAAATTTTAGTCTTGTTTGTTTTTTTTTTTTGATTCCTTTCTTCGAAAGCCTTTCTGGGATAATTTCCTTAATCCTTTAAGAGTGCCCTATCATCGAATTGTAGACGAAAATAATTATAACGAGTTTCTGTTAAAGCTTTCAAACCTTAAATCAGATTTTACACCAACCCTGGGTTATCTTAACCCAGTTTTGATCAACCTGGCCTAGTATCCTAGTATATTAATTACTTCAAAGGGTTTTGCGACTTCAAATGTTTCTCCGACAAAAAAGGGGCAATAAATAGTAGGTTTGAAGACATCACTGATGAATTTTCAGTTGGCTACCGTTTTACCTAGTCTACAAGTTAAGAGAAGATAGTACAAGCCAACATGTAGTCAAAACTATTTTACGTCATCAATAATTTAAACGAGTTGGGCTCATTACTTAACGTTGGCGACTATTCCACAAAGCTGTTCAATAATTTCAAAGGCCGGACGCGACGCTTGTGCTGCTTTCTACAGAAAACGCAAGCTCGCTGCCTTTGGCTATACCGATCACACCTTGTTAAGATCGTTTTTTCCAATAAGAAATAACGGGCCTCATTCTCACTTCCTGAAACATTCCTTGAATCTAGAGCTATTCTTTGATAAGCCAAGATTTATTCATTAAATTTTTTTCCGCTGTGAGGGTTAAATTTACCTGAAATGTTTCCATTATAGGTTGAAATTCGTTGTAATCTTCCACCCGTTCCAAGGCCTCACAGGCGTCTTCAAGCTTTTCCACCCATTCTTTAAGTAACATTAGTCTCTCATTATATTCAGAGTAGGCATCTGCCATAATCTGGACCTTGGGGTGCAGCTCTTTAATCTTTCCCTGCACAACCTCCCACTTGGATCGAAGCTGCTTCACAGCATCCTCAAATTGTTCCTCTTCTTCTGGGGAATTTACCTTAGACTTGGTTTTCTGGAGGTTATCGAAGTCTTCCTCGATGCTACGAAAAGCATCTCGGGATGAAAGAACTCGCTGAAAGAACGAAAGAAAAAGAATCACGAGAGCAGTGTTTGATGAACTTCGGTACTACTATTCCCAGGAAAAAGCTTCGATTGTGACTACTTATTCAGTTTTTGGCAATTTCAGAGCGTAGAAGGAATCTTTTCAGTTTGTGTTTCGTTTTTAAGAACTATCATATGAAAAAAAGACAAAACGAACGAATAAACAATCGATGAGCAAATTTCCCTGTTCAGATTAATAAACAAACAAAAATAAGATTTTTTACCTTCTTCCTCAAGAAACAACGAAAAATGTTTAGCATACACAGGATATTAACATGAAACAAATATCCAGAATATCTTTTCTCAGAAAGAATGAACAATCGCGCAAAAAAAACGACCACAAAGCATAAGGACTTTACCAGCAAATTGTAGGAAATCTTTACCTGGTAACGTTCGTGAAGGTCCGCAGTATAGCCTTGGGCACTAAACTGTTCATTCACCTCAGCCCATTCCTTAGCTAGAGCCTCAATGTTCTTATCTAAAGACGATAGTAACTCCTCAACATGGCCTCTGATCACCCGCGATTTCTCGCGATGGTACACTTCACCCCACTCCTGCGCAATAAAGGTAGCTTCACCCTCCAGACGTCTCTTGACTTGTTCATTGGGAATGATGGCTCGGAGATGTTCGTGTGTTTTTAAAAGGTCTTTGTATATTGCTTGAAAGTTTTCGAGCTCGTCGTCTGATGCCTGCAAGGGAAGAAAATGGGAAAATCGTTTCAGATAGGGCACAAAAAAAATTAAAGTCCTTTAGATAGGCTTGATTTCATCGATAGCCCCATATATTTCAGGTCGAATTTGAAATCTTTTTTCTTTATAAGTCCTGTCAGACTTGGATTACCTTCGATAAATCTGATTCCAAAGTCCACGACCGCATTTTTTTGGCGTTCTCTTCAAACTGTTTCAAGAGCTTATAACAATCTTCCAGATTGCGCGAATGTGTCTCCTCTCCCCCTTCTACCATTTTCCACTTGGTGTTGAGGGAATGAAGTTTCTCTTGTGGCTTTGAAAATTCAACATTCTCGGCCACTGAGTTTCGAAGCTGGAGGTACAGGTGGTTTCGGGACTCCACATAGTTACCATGTTGGTCAAGGTCTTCAAAGAGGTTCTACGTCAGAAAAGACATTTTCTTTATCAAATGTAATCTTAAATAGAACATTATGGGGTTCATCTATGGTTGCCAGGAACACAAGTTATCAAATTCCCCGAAGAAAAGGAATATGAAAGAGTTATGGTGTTATTTGCTTTGTTTGGAGCTTAGGAGAAAAAAATATCAGTCCTACACAACTAATTGAACCCGAAACCTTAGAATTCCGCAGTCCACTGCTCAATGACTACGATGCAGAGAATTCGTTGGTGATCTGGGCCATATAAATTTATTACAATGCTGATCCTAGCGGTGAGAATGCAGGATGTTCTTGTTTATTCTACGCTTGTCAAAAAATGAAGCACATCAGTCTTTTCGATTCACGGAGACCGAGCTACACATTTCTACATAGCGTGAATTTTTCTCTCAAAATAATGTTGCCTCACTTTTTTCTTTGAGTTTGAAGAATTCTTTTTCCCTGACAATTCACTGACCTGTGGTGGCCATATTGTAATTTTTGCACGATTTTCTGTTCGTTTTTTCATACTCCACAGTACATTTCCATTTCGATTTCACATTACAAATGCCAAAGACGTCAAGATAATCTTAAGCAAAATCCCTACAATGATGGATACGGATAGAGAAGACTGACTTAGATTTTGAAAAACGAACTTGAAACACTCTGGGTATCTTTAAAAATGGAGTAAACGCGACTTAGCACTCTACCGACCGTATGTCTTCCAAGTTCTCTTTCGACTTCCTCCAAAGTGTTCACATGTTTATACGCATCCAGCGCCACCGATGCTTCGTCCAACCATTTTAATTCGTCATCAAATCCAGTTTCAAATTGTTCCAGCTGTGGTAGGATCTGCTTCAAAGTATGATACCTGAAAAAGCCAAGAGCCAAAAAATGCTCAGTTTAACAAAAAATACTTTCAATTTATTTGTTGCGATTGTTAAACAAAGAAAGATAAGCTTGCAGGCATAGGAACTTTTTATTTCATTCAGTTATTTTTTCAAGAATGCAGGCACATCAATTTTTTTTCAACTTGAAATACCGTATTTCCGCGAATAAGCGCCCTCCCCCGAATAAGCGCCAAACCAGGACCTTAATGTCAAACAACGTCCCTCTCGAATAAGTGCCCTTGCCAACTCCTCCCTCACTTTTTAAAGAGAAGAAAAACAAGGAAACCGTGTTTCTGATGCTTATTTATTTAGAACCTTTTAACCCTTTAACTCCAAGAATTGATGAAAATGCTAATTCAGTAAAAAGGTAATGAGAATACTCTAACTTATCAGGTGGAGGTTGTTTTCTTGATCAACACCAAATTCTCGTTACTAATTTACACGGAAATGTGTAGCAACTAGAGGGGAGGATTAACAATAAGATTGATGGGAGAGGGTTAAGCTTCAACTGCGGCGGAATCAGTACACAAGAAAAATAAGCGCTGTCCTTCCAAATAGTGCCCCTCTTTTAGCCTAAATTTTAATCGAGGAAATACGTTAGATATCCACACAAATCTTTGTGGTTTGCGCGTGCACTTTTGGTGAAATACACATGCGATTCGTGGGAACTACTTGCGATATACAAGCATGTAAGGCTTCAGAACACGCAAGGGATACTGTACATTGATTTTTTTTTAACATCGAGCACCCATTGTAGACGCTAAGTTGTGTCCTAATCAATAGTTCCACTTTGCACATTTATGTGACGAGAGGATCATCGTTAACTCACCTGTGAGGAACTGAGGCTTTGATTTTATCAAATCTTCTGTTGATGTTTGACAGAGTTGCATTGATGGAGGAAGCCATATCTGTTTTGAAGTCTTTCAGGATGCCTTTAGTGAGTCTGTTTAATGAGTTCACATTTGATTCGCATTCTCCGATTTCCCTCTGCGTCACCTAAACCATGACAAACATACAAGATATTTCAATGGCTACGCGTGAGTATCAATTATAACGACACCAGAAGAGAAATCCGTATCCAAATGCTGACACATAATGGTCTTTTTATTATATACATGTGAGTTACATACACAAATCAAAGGCAATTTGATAACTCATTTTGCACCGAAATGCAAAGATGACCTGCACGTAAAGTTAGCTGGGAAAAGCTACTGCAACGTCTGACATGAAAAATAACAAAACAAAGGGCCTTACTGATCGCCAAGGTTTCATTCAACCCTAGTGCTACTCGGTCATCCTGAGATTTCACCGATGCCCAATTAATTTATGGAGGTTTTGCCCCATCAGAAGTTGGCCTATTACCTTTGTGAGTCTTCCACCTGTAGCAAAACAAGTTCGCCTTCTTTCTTTACCAGTTCGCCCCCAAATCTTTCAATTAGTTTGCAGTGTAGCGAAACCTCCAGGTACACTCAATTGTGCCCTGTGCTGAGAGTAAGGTGTCTTGCCCAAGAACACAGATATGGCACAGAGTACTGAAGGCTTAGGCTGAAACCTTTCGATATAAAGTCCATTATGTTTTAAGCCTATCCTCCGTTTCTCACACCCAGACAAACAAACAAAATAAAAGCCACAAAACAATCATTACCTCTAGTCGGTCTGTCCGTTCCTTGACCGCCTCGTGCGTCCCATCCACAGCAGAAGAAACGAAAAGCTCTGCGTCATAAATCCAGTCCATAACTCCATCTACTGTTTCCTCAAACCGTTCTAGTTTTGAGTTACGCTTGTCGCATTTCATGATTCGTGAATTTCGTCTGATAATCCGGTTAAGACGTCGATCCATGTCACGGAGACTCTGGTTGATCTCAATTTTCACTCGGTCTTGGCAGTGTGCAATAATTGTTTTACTACAATCTTGCGCCATCGAAGCGTCTGCTTGAGTTTTCTCGATACCCTTCAAGTATTCCTATGGTATAGAATGACGGTGTGTTCCATGAGACAAGGGCATACAGGAGACGCATGGTTTATTTTATTTAATGTGAGAAAAAAAAGGGTACATTTCTGTACAGAACTTTAAGCTGGACCATATACCTACAAATTATCGGCGCTGTTGCTTTAAGATTATGAAGAGGGTGACTTAACATCACGTTAATTCCGTTTCCCTGAACTGAGTCTTGCCTTGTGGAAGCAAGGCTTACTCTATGTAATATAATACTTTAGAGCAAACCAAAGAAATTTCACCTGACCATTAACCTACATGTTATTCGCGATGTTGGCTAAAAATTTTCTCGATGAGAACAAAATAATTCCCTTTCTGGTTTCCTTGTTCTAACTGTTGCGTTTGGTGAAAGTGCCTCGAGGAACGGCTTAAACTATATGAAAAAATATGCTACCATGAACTAAACTGACATCAGCGACAAAATTGTTGACGCATTGACCTTTTCAACCCCTTGCTACTTCCATTTTATCTCTTTTGCTCTTGTTAGGCTAACCTTTCCGTCCCCTTCCCCCCCGAAACAATGCTGTATCGTGATTTCATGAACTTTTAGCCAACAGTGAATGGGGGAGTGGGGGGAGCTGTTAATGGTTTATGGTTAGGTATAGACAAGAATTTTATTCTTCACATAAATAGAACTCTTCCGACATGATGTGTCAACTAATTTTGACGCTGCTTGTAGGTCTCCATTTCTTTTGATAGAGCTTTCTCAGAAATTCTCACTTTTGGGAGCCAAGGAGCATTTCTTTTTTATTTACGTTCCGGATCGACATCGTGAGCATAACCAAGAAATTGGTCCATAGTGATGGTCGCAGTGTGATGAAGGATAAAATTTATGGCATGAATAAGACGATTTTTATCCATCCTTCTTCGAAAATTGTTCAGTGTACAAAATTCCTTAGGGTTTCGCTGTTCCGCATGATGTTACTTCAAGTACGTACCTTACAAGCTTTGAGGGTTCCATTCGTGATCAGCGCTTCAGCATCTTCCATCCATTTGCAAACAGACTCAATCAGCGTATCGAACGTTTTCCACTTCCTGTTAACATCTTCAAGGTGTCTATGTCGTGAACTGGCCTCTTCCACGATCTTGTCCACCTGTTGATCTACGTTCCATACCAGGCTTTTAACTTCCATCTTGCGAGACTCGGGAAGGATATCCATGTACGCCTCGGCAGTGTGGTGAAGATTTCGTCGATGTTTCTTGCATTTCTTGAGGACGTTTTTGTCAAAAAAAAACATCTGTAGCGAAAGAAGGAGATTTTTGCATAAGAGAGGTCTTCTCAAAATGGTGATTGGTATGATAGCTTTGGTATCGTCCATTCATTTTTCCACTCTCGTCAGTGATAAGTATCGAATTCTCCTTAAAAATATAGTACACTCTCAGGCACTCTCGGGCAGTTCGTGGGAATTAACCAAATTATCAGCAATAGGATGCAGGATGCTCTAAGAATATAACATCAAGCTCTCGTAACAATTAAATGAGTCTTCGTCTGTTGGCTTTCACATCTTGAAAGGTCTGGAAAATGGTAATTGCATTCACATACTGTCATCGCAAAATCAGCAAATAATTAGTAAGCCTATTAGTTGTAAAGACCGCATTTTTACAGTTTTAACGTAATTTTGGGATGGAATTATCCTTCCCACTTTTAAGTTAAGACTGCTGTTAGCTTTCCTAACAAACACAATCGAGTAAATATGAAATGAAGTAAGGACGATTTTTCTTTAACATCAGAGCAGTGATCTTTTAACCCACCATGTGTTCTTTCAGAGCCTTCTCCACGTGACCTTGCGAGGCGTACTTGGCTGGTTGACAATTCATTTGTTTCCGTCCAGCATCCAGTAGTCCTAGGATTTTCGACCTGGATTTCTCATAAGCGAGCCTCAATGACCTGTCAGCGGACTTCCCTTGGACTGCCTTGATGCGCATGTCGACCTCTTTCAGTAAGGATGCGTCCACTAAGACATCCTCGTCGACGCCAGATTGAAGAATGGCATCCAGGCCCTTGCAGTGTTCATCTAAGTCCTTAAAGAAAGTCTGGATACAAATAAGGCAAGATCGGTTACTCAGCACAAACAAACACATCGTGACCGAGATGGTCAGATTCTTGCTAATCATTTCTATATCTGTTAAAAGCCCCATAAAAGCTTAAGTCCATTAAGCAAAACCGCGGCCCGGGTTTACATCGGCAAAATGGTATAGTCTCGATTGCAAAAACGCTGACAGGTAAAAAGCGTTTTCAATGAACGAAGAGACCTTTCGGCTTTATTGGTCAGATGAACATGATGACTGGCATTACTAGCAGGAAAGCTACCAAAGCTTTCCTGAATGAAAAGGATCATCAAAGAAAAAGTTGCTAAATGAATAGTCAGAGAGGTAAACCACTGACTAATTATCTTCCCATGATGCCGTTGGCTCTCATCATTTTCGCACTCGAGTGTCTATTCTGATCGTGCACCCAGTAGCCTCGAGAACAAATTCGAGCATCAACACGACGGGTATGGAACGGTGTCTCATCTTGGCAGCTTGCCTTTCTGCTCGGAACGAGAAAATGAAATGCAAACGAAGAACATTTCCATGAATGTGTTACCAGACTTGATCGTTACCAGTTTGTCCAGCCCTTTACCAAATGTTCGATTACACATCCTACATCAATGTTAGCAAAGAAAGATGTCCAATAAAAAAAAACATCCCATTCCTTTCCCAATTGTAGGAAGAGAAGACCTTAAGTCGGCTATTAAAACAAAGAAATTTTACTAACCTCATGTTGCTTCAATAGGAATTTTGCGGGAACCTCGCAGAGCCAGCTCTCGTCAGACTCATAATAGTTAAGCAAGGCCTCGGCTTCGTGTAACCATAACAAGAGGTTACCAAGTTTGCCATCTTTCTTTACGTAACGTCCTACTTCCCAGATTCTCTCCTCCAACACAGTTACTTTCTGTTTGACTATTTCCCACTTTGTGACCAGTACTTTCAGTTTGTCTTCAGCGAGGATGAACTCGGGGTATTTTGTCTCAATAATGCGACTAATGTGATACTCACGGCGCTGAATTTGCTGACGGAATATTTGTATCAGTTTCTGTAGATAAAATAAACCATAAGGAATGGTGATACCTGATTTCAAAATTTCGCTGAAAAAATATTTCCTGAACCTGTGGTGAAACCACTCGCCTACGACTCTCTTCGGCTCTTGCTTCTTTTCAGGTCTCATTTTACATGGTCACAAGAGAAAATTCGAACCAAAATTAGGTTAACCCAAAGTAAGTGAAAAATATTCCATGTGGTGTTATAACTTTAGAGAAATATTCAGTTTTTGTTTACAGTCTTTTTCTTTCGGTTTTGCCTACTTCTTTCGGTGAAAAACCTTTCCCTCACTAGCTCGTTTCTTCCAGAGGAATCACTATACCACAAGTCTAACTTTTAATCCTGGATCAGAGTTAACTGTCTCTCTAAGAACAACCAAGCAGCGGGTTCTTATGATCTTCTATAGACATCAGAAATATATGGGGTTGTAGCGCGACTATTTCTCCTCTTACGCAATTCCCGAAATGATGGGTGACCCGAAGAGCGTGACTCAACGTGCGTGACCGAGAGTAAGAAAGTGATAGTCCCCTTAATTTGTCTTGGCGTGACCCAACCTAACGGTAGAATTGCATAATTTATAACAACAACATTCCCGGTTGAATTCTTTCTCATTTCATAATTCCGCTTCCTGAACTTTAAACATTTTATTCCAATGTACACACTGCTAAGCGACAAGCACTTCAAGTTAGAAAGCAAATCTGTGTTAAGATATTAAAAATTTAGGCGTAAAAATTGCTAGAGGCTACACGTAAACATTGACAAATTTCAACCATTCGTTTAATCGTATTTTTTTCTGTTAACGTTAACGGAAATAAATTAACCGTTAGCCGTAACACGGCCAAAATTTGAACCGTTAGCCCCATAAGCCATCATCCCATTCAAATTCTCTATAATGTGTGTCGCGATAACACAGTGATTAGCCGATTGACTGATCAGCACCAATGCTCTCGATGTACGCAACGGTTGCTCTTACAGTGAAGTTGAAACGATGTCCATAAATACTCTAATATCTATGTATAACCGGTGTCTTGCGGTAAAGAAGTTAGCAATCAGAGTGATCGCTGTCGGTATCTATCTCCTTTCTAAGCCTCTCGCAAGCTATAAGCGGAGAGAAAACTCTGGAGTTTTTCACTGGCTCCCCCTCAATCATCAGGCGAAGTTACGACTTGCATCTCTTCCCACGAAAAGCCGTACAAATTTGCTAATCATTTAGCCATACTTTGGCCATTGCCTACCACAAACAACTTGAGCAGACTCTTGAAAAGGAAAGAAAAGACGCCAGAAAATTCCGTGCTATCCGAGCCGCCGTATTTGCTTTGAATTTTATCACCACGAAGAGCGTTTTCGTAAAGCGCCTTTATCGGTGGAAAATTCTTTCGGGTTAGTGTGTAAATAGGAATACCGGTACGTTTTGAAATTTGTCTGATGTAGTGTAGACAGAGATTCACTATTCACTTGGTTGAGTGGGTTGTTTAAATGTTCCTCGTTGACTAAGTGTGTTATTTAACGTACCTCGAGTGCGTTTGTTGACAAATTATCGCAACAGCGTCGTGCAGCGATCCAGTAACCAGAAGTCAGAGCTCCATGTTCGTAAAAAGTAAATGTTGCTAGAAAAACATACATTTAACCACAACGATCGTAATTTTGAGTTGTAAAGGCAGCTCACAGCAGGCTCATGGCTGTTTTCTTCGGTGTTAGCGCATAAAGGATCAACGATGTTATCAATGCAAATTACGTGAAAAGATAAGCTGCAATTGTTTTTCTAAGTTTTTCCTATTGTGTGAACAAAATAGCTTGAAATCAAACAATGGATTAACAGTTGCTTAGACACATTACTGAACAGAATTAACATTAAAAAGCGACGCAAAAGGTGACAAATTGCAAGCGTTGTTTTCGGTAATTATAGCTGTGTTAAACGGATCAGTAATTACGGATTGCACGCTTGAATAAAAGCATGCAATGCAGCACATTTCAAATTCTAAACACCAAGCTGGCTAAAACAACTTCCAACTTTATTCACTATAACAAGGCAGCGAAAAAAAACACAACTGAGCTTTGCTGTATGTATGCTATTGTAAAAGTCTAATTAAAGTGTTAATTTCCATTGCCGGAGTGAAGCGAAATAAATAGGAAATGTCTTCCTTAAAATTCGCTGAGGCCTGGTAATGGGTCATGTGACTTCTGGCGCACAGTTGTTTTTGTCGTGTCTGCCACTGAATTGACCTCTTCCACCCATCCTCAATAATTTCAAATTGTACTGTATAGTCATTAGTCTAATCTTCAAATCTTACCAACTGTTTAATTCTCTGTTTTTGCATGATGGGCATCAATAATCTCGTTGAGATTTCAGTAAAGGTCAGTTTCGGGCGGCCAGCTTGGTATAGTTACCGCTGAAGTGTGACACACCCGAACCGTTTGGCTCATGTAGTCACAAGTGACTTAGTTTCTCACCTTTCAACCGCATCTTCTTAATATTTATCATGGGAAACGGTCAAGGATTACGCATAACGTCATAAATTATAAGAGCATTTTCATTCCTCCGGATTGTTTACTGTTTCACTGATAAATTTTGATATCAGTTCTGTTAAAGTTCAGCTTAGCGAAGAGCTAAATTTACCGTGTTCTCGACATGTCCGTGTCCTATAAGTTTGTGTTTCACTGTCAACCAACGCGTGACCAACAAAAAAAATTGACATTTTTCTTCATTTATAATAAAGTGAATAGTCAGCACTGATTTTTCGATCTAGGATTAGCGTTTGTTACCTGACAGAAAACCAGAACTAAAAGTACAAATGTTACAGAATACTTCAAGACAACTCAACAAAAATTGCGGTGAGGGAGGGGATGGACTAAAACAGACCACCATCTCAGGGCAGGCCACTAAAAGCTTCATTTTAAAGAACTTTGTTTCACGTTGTATGTGAATACTATAGACCACCTTGACTTTCATAAATGGCTGCCGGATTAATATTCTCTTGTTTAAATTTAAATTAGCCCTTCTGGCCTCGCTTGAGATAATGTAAACTTTAGATTTTTGTACTGGAGAACGAGGTCAGAAGGACTAACTTAAATTTAAACAAAATTATATTAATCCGGCAGCCATTTATGAAAGTGGTATATTAGACGTCAGAATCAAAGTACTCAGATGATTTTTCCTTTAATAAGACAAAGGTGCACTGCTAACTTCGGCAGCAGCCTTCACCCTTTACACTAACGATCCAACAGGATGTAAGCGATTGTTATCAGAATCTCTGAACAAATTGCATAGAGCTTGACAAGCATGCCATCTTAATGCAGGTGGAAGTTTCACCCTTTCACCACCAGAAGTGGCATGTACATTTTTCTATCACAGTTAAAACATTAACAGTCGGAAAGGTGAAGAGAGTAAAGAAGAATTTCAACCAGGAGATATTCCTCTATTGAGCTGTTCTTACATCAAATTCTCAGAGTTGAAATTACAAGAACGTATAAAGGATAGAGAGAAGAATTGGTGTCGAGATCAGTTTCTCTTAACTTTTTCACTCCCAAGATCTCATTAGCAATTCCCCTTACTGTCTGCCATACAATTCTTATGGTGTTAGTTTGGAGAATTTGGTATTGGATCAACTAATAATCCCCTAATTGATGTTTTTCAATGTTCTCATCACTTGTATGCTTGATATTGTGTTGAATTTGAAAGGAGAGATTCTGTATATCAAAGCGATCGTCGCAGTAATGAACACAATTTGAGCTATAGTGAAAATGAAGATCGCTTTAAAAATGAAAGTGAAATTAAAGATCGCTTTCATATATGTTTCTTAAACCACAGTTTACATATATGATATTCATATATTCACAGTCACTGAAGGAGAAATTCTGTCTTGGTCACCTCTGGGAGTTTAAGCTGTTAATAGCTAAATCGACGTAGTTCCGCTTACTGGTTGCTAAATGCGCACTACAGTTTATCACTTAACAACGAAGTCATCACAGGGCGAGATTTTAGACGAAAGAGTTGTTTTGTTTTGTTTTGTTTTTTTGGCTGATTGGAATTCTCATCATTCAGAATGTTGCTGACGGAAATAAGTCAAATAATGACTGCAAACTCACCCCTTTACGTTTCTTTTGCGATTCCTCTTCTTCACCTTCTTCGCCCCACTGTTGTTCCATCAGTAAAATTCGACTCTCCACATCGTTCAACCAATTAATGATCTCCTCAAATTCGTGCTCGACGTCTCTCTTTTCACTTTCTGCCTCAAACTCTTCACCATCGTCCTGGAAATGAAAAGAAAAAAATAATGAATCAATTAAAATTGATGAGGTGACTGAGACATTAAATAATTTCTTCACAAGCTGTACCCAAAGTACCAAAGAACAAAATCAAAACGGCTATCCAGTAGATTTATCGCACATATCAAATAACTTAATAAGCAGGCCGAATGTGTCGCTAAGCAACACTAATCCAACAGAAGTTTACGAAGTAATGAGGAAACTTGCTACAAACAAGGCTTCTGGATGTGATGGGATCCTTCCACTAGCAGTTAAAGAATCGATGGATGTTTTATGCGTCCCTCGCAGTACACTGATTAATCATGTTCTAACTTCAACTAAGATACCACAACAGTGGAAACTTGGCGAGGTCACTCCAATTCTCAAAAAAGACTGCAGCCTATTAAAAACTAACTATCGGCCGATAAAGATTCTGCCAGCTTTATCGAAGGTTTTCGGAAAAATTGTTCATTGCCGAATAAGCCCGTATTTTAAAGAAATTTATCACAAATGTGTGTTTGCTTATAGGAAATATCACGGCTGCGACTCAACACTTCTTAGTCTAACCGAACAATGGAAAAAAGAAATTGATAACAACAAATTGATCGGTCTGGTCTCTGTGGACTTGTCCAAGGCCTTTGACACCTTACCTCATGAACTGATTGTTTTGAAATTAAAAGAATATGGAGCAGATGAAGCAACAACCACCCTGATAAAGACTATTTATCAAATCGATTCCAAAGAGTGAGAGTAGGGGATACACTTTCCAATTGGCAACCTATTTGCAATGGTGTACCACAGGGATCCATTCCTCGGCCCTTTACTCTTCAACATCTTCATGAACGATCTTTCATATGTCATCGAGAAGTGTACTCTGTCCACTTACGCTGACGACACTCAAATCTTTCACGCCGTCAATCAACTCTCCAAAATTGAAGAAACAATCAACAACGATCTTATTACTGCTGATATATGGTTCGCGCGTAATGGTATGAAGAGGAACAGTTCAAAATACCAGGCAATGGTGTTGGGAAAACACAAAGGAACTGATGAACCAGTGTTTAAGTGTGAGGAGTCACCACTTCCCATATCCAACACAATGGAACTTCTTGGCGTGACAATCGATGATAAATTGAATTTTGAAAAGCACATTGCTAAAATATGTAGAAAAGTCAGTCAACAGGTGGCTGTGTTAAAAAGGATGCAGAAAATGTTGTCTTT